TTCAAATTTTCACTTTTTAGAAAAAGACATTATTTAAAAAGTCTTGACAGTAGAGGGGGACTAGTTGAAAAGAAAGGGTTCAGAGGGTGGGAAATAAGAAGGGGTAGTGATGGGTGAAAAGTTCAGGCATCATACTGGCCGGCACCTGTTACCTGGCAGAATGCACTCAGGCAGTATTCTGGTCAGCCCAGGGTTCCATGGGAACTAGTCTGCAGGCAGGTATAAAGGACCCCTTTAAAAGACAGATGCCGTCCCACTTAAGCTCTCTTTGCTCTCCTCTCTTACCTTCCTGTCTCTCCCTTCCTCTCTCTCTCTTTGCTCTGTCCCCTCTCTCTTACCCTCTCATTCTTACTGACCATTCCTTTTACTCTTTCTCTCTCTCCTCTCTTTCTTTATGCTCTTCTCTCTCTCCTCTTGTTCTGTTCTCTCTCTCCCCCATGCCCACCTTTAATAAACTATGGTTAATGTACTCTCCATGGTTTGTGTCCATCGCACTGGCGAGAGTTCCATCTCACAGCCTCCTTTTTCTAAGTTTTAAACTTTTACAAAATAACAACAATGGGTGAATGTAATCACATACACACACACCCCAAATACAACGGAGTACAACTGTATACATTTGTAAAAAATAAATGCATGAAAACAATTATAAAGTGATTACGGCTTTCCTGGTGGATATAAAATATGACGTCATTGTGATTTTAATTCAAGTTTTCCTAATGAACAGTGACCTTGAAAATGTTTATATTTGCTTATTGGTCATTTCTATTTATTCTTTGGGGAAATGTCTGTTCAAGAGATTTGGCCATTTTAAAAATTGGCTTACTTGGTTTTTATTGCCTAATTGGTTAAAACTTTAATGTCTAGACTACTTCCAATATTCATAAACCTGAATGCATATCTCTTTTCTCATTCCATGAGTCTCATTCATATCCTTTGCTGTCATGATGATAACACACATCAGATATGAGTGTGTTGGAACAAACTGAACTTGGCCCCATTTAACTCTGCAATTATGAAGCTACATCTCTGGTGGGATATTATGAGACCAGCCAAAGCCAGCCTTTCTCATTTCTCCCCTTTACAATAGTATGCCTCACTCTCCAGAACTGCTTAGTAAGTCTTACTTGCAAGTTGATTTCCCCGATCTCCTACCTGGAAACAGATTCAACTCTGGAGGAGAAGGAAGTGGGATAAACATTGATGCTATTCCTGTATTTCTGCCTGCAATAAGCTAATTCTTCAACCCAAGTCATGACATTTTCAAACTGTACTGAAGATTTCTAAACTATAGTTTCAGAGCCATTTTATTTGAGGCTGTGCTACTAGAAGAGAGTCTTCAGCTTAGGCCTGATGTAAGTAAGGTCTGATATAAAGACTGTATGTAATGTGTAAAACAGGTATTTATTGTTAAGAAAGGGTTCAGAGGGTGGGAAATAAGAAGGGGTAGTGATGGGTGAAAGGTTCAGACATCATGCTGGCCCACCCCTGTTACCTGGCAGGGACCACCCTTCCCAGAAAAACACCACCCACCACAGGCTGAGCCCTTCCCCATTGGTCACTAATTGAGACAATGCCTTACAGCTGGATCTCATGGAGGCATTTCCTCAATTGAGGCTCCTTCCTCTCTGATGACTCTAGCTTGTGTCAAGTTGACACACAAAACCAGGAAGTACAAGTAGTATGTAACTGCTTGTGCCATTTAGAAGAAGGAGGTATTCAGAGATATCCTCAGACCTATGTTCCAAGAGAAAGAGCTCCAGATTTTAACATTGATTATTTCTGAGTTTTATCTTCACGCATACACATGTTTCAATATCTGTTTTAAATCCTTAATTCATAAGTAACATTTAAGGTGATGATCTATTTTATCTTAATTTATTTTATGATTAAAGGTACTCACTTATATATGGATTTTAGACATAGAACAAAGGAGTACCAGCCTACAATCTACACGGCCAAAATAGCTAGGAAACAAGGAGGACCCTAAGAGAGACATGCATGCTCCCCAGAGAAGGGGAAAGGGACAAGATCTCCTGAGCTATTTGGGAGCATGGGGGAGGAGAGAGGGAGCTAGAAGAAAGAGAGGGGGAGAACAGGAGGGGAGAGGAGGACATGAGAGAGCAGGAAAATTTAGTCAGGTGAAGAATTGAGGAGAGCATGAAAAGAGATACCACAATAGAGGGAGCCATTATAGTTTTAAAGAGAATTCTGGCAGTAGGGAAATGTCCAGAGATCTACAAGTTTGACCTCCAACTAACAATCTAAGCAGTGGTTGGGAGGCTACCCTAAATGCCCTTCTCTGATAATGAGCTTGATGACTACCTTGTATGCCATCCTAGAGCCTTCATCCAGTAGCTGATGGAAGCAGAGGCAAACACCCACAGCAAAATACTGAGCTGAGCTCTAGAATCCAGTTGCAGAGAGAGAGGAGTGGTAAGCAAAGGGGTAAAGACCAGACTGTAGACACCCACAAGGACAGCTGCCCTGAACCCCTAGTATAGGAATGGACTTTGGGTGCCCTCTCCACATGGAGGGGTACTCTGTCAGCCTAGACATACAGAGGAGGGTCTAGGCCCTGGTCCAAATGATATGACAGACTTTGAAGATTCCCCCATGGAAGGCCTCACCCTCCCTGGGGAGTAGAAATGGGATGGCATAGGAGGTTGGGGGGGGCATGGGAGGAGGAGAGGGAGGGGGAACTGGGATTGACATGTAAAAGAAGCTTGTTTCTAATTTTAAAAAAGAAAATTTCACACAATTTGTTTTGATCCTTGTACTTTTACAAAGGACAGAAAGGCCTGTGACTCAGGGACTAGTTGCCAGCGGCCACAGACTTTGATCATTGCTATACAGCTGGAAATGTCACACAGTCAATCTGGCATGGTGTTTGACTCTTCTTTTTCAAAATTCACTTTTGTTTGGGCTGGAGGTCAAATATGTGTGTCATAAACTGGTTAAGAGGCATGGTCAGCTGAAAAGGAGGTTGTGAAGCTGTTATGAAAACAAAAGGACCTTTCCTGTTCCCAAACACCTCCCATCTCTGGCAAACAAGACAAGGAAAGTCCAGAATAATGTGTGGAGTCTGTTGTCTATTTAGCAAAGAGGTATAGATGCACATGCCTTTACTTATCAATTGGAAGCTACTGAAAGGGTTAATGAGAAACTATTAGAGTTGCATTAGAAGCATTGAAGAGAAACGAGTCACATTTTAAATTTTTGGTTTATAAATGATACACATTAATTACATAGAGTGGGTTTTGTTATGACAGTTTAATGCACTTATACTTTACATTTTCTGCATGTTCACACCCATTGCTCTCTCTTGTATCCCCTCCCCACTTCCATACAACTTAGTCCACTTCCTAACTCTCCACTCTCATGTCTTTGCCTTTTTAATTGACCTAGTGAGTTCTATTAGGGTTGCTAACAGGGGCATTGATGAAGAAGTCTTTACAGGAGCAAGGGAACCTTAGCTATGTCTACACTGCTGGGTAAAATGTCTTCTCTTCCAGAAACTATTAACTGCATATAAATCCTCAGATAGGGGCTAGGGTTTGGTTCCCTCCTCTACCCCATGACAGGATGTTGGCTGGGCCAGTCTTGTGCGGGCAACCACAGCTGTTGTGAGTTCAAGTCTGAAGGTTTTTCATGTTTTAATTAGAATTTTAAGAGCTGTCCAATTGACAAGAGACGAAAATAGGGACAAGAGGAGTAGCAGCACTGACTGTGTGTTTGGTCACCTGCTCAATAACCCTTCATTGGAAATCTGCCCTGGATACTACTTTAGGGACACTCTCTTTGAAGATTGCTTTCTGTCTCCAAACTCCAGCTGGGGTCTCTATTCTATACCTACAAGGCTCTAGAAATCTCCCTCCAGATACGTATCAGCATAGCTCTACACCCTGAGGGCCCCCGACCCCTCCAACTGACCACTTCAAGTGGAAGAACCTTGACAGATATGAATGATGCCTTCCTCTTCCAAAGTGGACAATATTCTAGCTTCCAATAGTTTGATTTTTGCAAATTTGTGAATTTGGTATGTAATATCTGGCATTTTTTCACTTTGAATCCCTATATTGTTGCTATTGTCATTGCTGACTGGGAAATAACTAATTGCTTCATTATGCTGTTATCTGCCACTTGAATTTTGACTCCAGATTGTGATGAGTCACACTACACTGAGTGGTCTTCTACACCCTCTTGGGTGCACATGCGGCCTTGTTTCTGTTGAACAGATGCCTGGGAGTGGCTTCTGGCCAGACTCTTTGTGGTGTTCTCAAGTGAGGTACATCCTGCTATAGTGGGAAATTACCAATAGGGAGTCAGGTAGAAATATAAGGGTATTTAATAGGGAAAAGCCTTACTTGCAGAGCAACCTAGCCAGCCGGTGGGTCAGCAGCCTGTACCACAAGTACCAAAGAGAAACCGAAACTGCAAACGCAGTCACACTACGTCACTCTGACCTCGCCCTCACAAGCCTGGTCAGGCACACCTGTAGCCAGCCCCTAAGAAGGCGTGGCTACAGCTTCCCCTACAATTCCCCTTTTAGTCTAAAAGAGGATTAAAACTTAACAGTATAAAGTATCCAAAATTAACAATCATAAAGGTAAAATATAAGAAGATACAACAATCTGCTTATGTTCAATACTCTGAAGGCCCAGGCCACATCTTTACACAATTGTCTCTGTCACCTACCATCCTATCATAGCTCTTGGTGTGACATAGCCAATCCTCAAAGATGGTCATCTTTCTTCTTCAAGTTTCCGGTGCTAAGCTGGCCAGTTTCTGCCTCTAGGGAATGTCATGATGCCTGTCTATTTTTAGGCAAATAAGGGAAAGATTACCCGGTACATTTTGCCCACAGTCTCTCAGTAGAGCAGATAAATACACTCATTCCCAAGTAGCATTCTCCAAAACTATAAAGATCCCATTTTCCTCCTTCACCACCTGACTTCACTCATACATTAGAGCAGAGTGGACTGAGGGAGCCATAAAATATGAAGGTCTTGTTACTCTCAGCTGTTTTCTTCAGCTTGGTCCAAGGAAACTCAGATAAATGTCTCCTGGGTAGCCCTGGAGAAGGCAGGACTTCCATTTATGCTGTAGACAGCGTTTAGGTATAGACAGCAGTCACAGATGGTGGACCACTCTGGGGCCCAAGGCTGAACTATTTTCATAATGAAGAGGTTTGGGGGCTTTAATTTTTGGTTTTTGTTTGTTTTTAGAATTGTAAGGTTTATGGCACAAGACATAGAAACCTGTTTTCTCCAACGACTAGAAAGATCTAGTCATAATCTGACTTAGTTGAGGACAGAAGGGCAGTGGTACATGTGTCAGAGCTGGAAGGGAAGGAGAGCTCTTCTAAGGCAGCCCAGAGTCTGTGGAAAGAGAACCAGGCTGCAGGGAAAGGGTTAGATTACAAAAAACAGAGAAGTATCCTCGTCTACTGCATTCCCTTGGCTTTTGTAGATAGCCTATGATATCCATGAGAAAACAGATGTAGCCATTTAAATGAGTTTTCAAAGGAGAGAAAATGTGTTACTTGAAAAAAACTAGAGTCCAGATCCCGAAGCCTTTGGATTAGAGGCTCTTCTGTTGTTAAAGTGGACTACACACCCATCTCTGTGTCCCCTCCAAACTGTGGTAGACTTAATGGACACAGTATCATAGATCAGTCCCCATTTGAAGTTTGGCTATTGCAGGAGACTATTTTTCTAAACACGGAAGACTTACGTTTTGTTACTGTTGCTTTTAAACTCATGATGTAGAGCATTGTTAGAAAGGCCTCATTTTTAGACATCTCTTTCCCTCCATGCTTTCTTTATGGGAACTCTGGATGGTTATTGTTTTACTTAGAAGGCCACACACAGGTCATACTGTTATTTTTGCTTCTTTATATTGTAGTAATATGAGTGCCAGTCCAGCCACAAGCTGAAAGGCAGAGCCATTTCTAATTTTTCTATAGCCTGAGGCCTAACTACTGTTATTCTGTTGTTTCCTAAAATGCCACCCCTGCCAATATACCTCTATCTCCAGGCTGCTGAAGGACCCTCCTGTGACAGAAGTTTCTCAGGGCCTGCAATGGGCCAAGTGATTTCACACACAGCCTGTCATGCCATCCTGGGAACACCATGAGATAGAAGCAATTGCTCTTCCAAGCTAGGAGTCAAAACTCACTGAAGTTGGAACTTAGCCTTGTAAGAATATAGTGAACTCTCAGCACTGGGCTGTGGACTGGAATTGCTATCTAACACTCTGTCTATTGGACCCACAGGGGACAGACCACTCGGAATCAGAAACACTGTCTGCCTCATGCAGTATGGCCACTGCAGACTTTTTATGTGCCATTCTGGTGAGAGAAAGGGGGATATCTGCTCTGATTACTGGAACAGATGCTGCATACCCATTTCCTTTGAAAATGGAGGAAACAACTTAAGGCAGAAGAGCTAGGGTCTGGGGTGCAAGCTCCTGGAAGGTGGAGACCCAGAAACACCCTCACAGCCTTTGATGATGGGCCTCTGATGGTTCATGCTCAATAAACACTTGCTGAATGAATCTAGCCCCAAGGCAAAGGTTTAAGGAAAGAATTTTATTGAAAACATGTTAATTCCCCATTTATTTTAAGGACTTTGAGGAGTTCCAAGTTCACTTCATTTCCCTACATTGTCCTCCCTTTGTTACAGGCGATGTCTCCTATATAAGCTCAGCCTCAAACACGGTTTTCAAAGAGACAGGAGGCTGATTCTACTGGCCTTATGTCTGTCCTCTGTGGCACGCATAATATCAAGCCCAGCACTAGCTTTTACCTTCCTGCTCAAGCCACTTGGGCTCCTGTTGCAGTTCTAGAGCCTTCTCGAATGTTAATTTTGTTACCTTTCAACATTTACTCTTTGGTTATCTCAACCGAATAACAAGGTGACCTTGCCATGTTTACAGAGAATGTAGTAAGGTTTAAGAATGGCCATTCCTGAGATTTAGGTAAAATAAAAACAAAACAAAAAAATCCAAAAACCTCAAGGCCAATCAAATTGCTCCAAATCAGAAATTCATAAACAGAATTCTTGATGTACCTGTAAGTGTGTTCATTTTGTTACTTTTATTTTTAAATGTTTGTTTGTCTTATTGTGTGTATGGTATGTGCGTTTGTGTGTGTTGGTATGTATGTGTATTAGAGTGTGTTTGTGTGTGTGTGTGTGTGTACACTATGTTTCTGTGTGTGTATGTGTATGATATGTTTGTGTGTATACCGTGTGTTTCTGTGTATGTATGGTATGTATGTATAGTGTGTATGGGGAGTGTTGTGTATGTGTGTGTGTATGTGTATATGTATGTTATCTTTGTGTGTGTGTGTGTGTGTGTGTGTGTGTGTGTGTGTGTGTGTGTGTCAAACTTCTCATGAATGTGCCTCACATGTAGCAGTAAGAGGCTAACTTTTGGGAATGAGTTCTCTTCTTCCTCCATGGGTTCTGGGGGTGGAACTCAGGTGGGCAGATTTTCTTTAAACTTCTTTACTGAATCTTTCTGGGTTTCACATCATGTACCCCAATTCTTTTCACCTCCTAGTCTCCCCATATCCACCCTCATCCCTGCTGTGCCTCCCCACAAAAGAAAATAAAACATGGTAAGCAGACAAGCAAGCAAACAAAAACAAGAACAAAACCTCCCAGTAAACCAAAGCAGAACAAAAACCACACCAGGAACAGAAAAATCTCTGCGTTCTGACATTTTAAAGACCATGTTTCTGAACACCTGAAGCTTTGTAGGGCCCAGTGCATGAAGTTTCCTAACACTGAGCTGTTTGCTGTTTTCTGCACACTGTTCAGCTGTGTGGCAGCTGCCTAAGAGTTGTGAATTAATTACCTGTGAGGAATGTAGAGGCTCTTTAAGGGACATGCCTTCTGTATTAGAGACCACATGCCAAGCTCTCTTCATATTAACAGATAAAATCCCTTGTTTCCATGTTTCTATTTACTGCTTGACTCTGGTTTGTTTATGAACCAGCTGAACCTACTTCAGAATTCCTATCTTAATTCTCATCCCAAGTTACAACCAACATTGGATAACCTGGCTTTGGCCTTTCTCTGGCCTTTTCCAGATCTACACATTAATTTTTTTCTAAATACAATCCTGGAACTGCACAGAAGGGAGCCTTCCTCAGAACCAGCATCTGCTCAAAGCATTCTCCATGCCTGCCTGTGTGAATGTCTGTCTGGGGAGGTGCTGGCCCCAGTTATAGCCTCTGCTCCGAGGTAGTGAAACGCCTGTCCACAGCAGGAGAGTCATCTCTCCAAGTGCAACAGATCTGTCTCAACAATAAATGGGCCGAGTGGCAACCAGTGCTGAGCCTAGAGCCGGGTTCCACCTTCCCCTGAGCATGACTCAGTAGGCTGGAAGCACATGTTCCTGGCCTTACGCTTCTTATCCTCAGAGGACGAACCTGGACTAAACGCCTGAGGCCCCAGCGCAGGCTGCCACAAGCCTCTGAGGGCAGAACCACACTTCCTTAGTGGTCCAGGGCTGTCTCCACAAACAAAATGATGAGAGAACCCACCCCTTCACCTTTCCATCACGCTATCAGGTGACAAGCCTAAACGGTGCAGCAAGAACAGCTAAGAACCCGGCCGGAGAGATTTCATGAATCCCTATTATATACTCACATTGTAGGATATATTGCTCACTGGATGCTTTTAAGTGTGTTTGGTTGTTGTTTGCTTTACTTTGGAGAACACCTTTTCATGTAGTTCAGGCTGCCCTTGAACTTCTGTTCCTCCTGTGTCCACCAACGGAGTGCTGGAGTTAGAAGTGTGCACCATCACATGGGGGTTATTCAGTTGTGGGCATTGTGCCCAGTCCTCACACACATTCTGGGCAAGCATTCTACTAACTAGGCTCCACTCTAGGACCCTGTGTAAAAATCTGGAGCTGGTAACTAGACCGACGTTGTAGGAATATCCTTGGGCAAGGATGCAAACTTCTTTGAAAGGATGTTTGTGCACCTGACACAGAAGGAAAAAAAAAGACACCTGTTGGAAACTGAGGCTTAGACACACAACCGTGAAGTGACAGTCTGTAGGAAAGAATGGGATGGCAAGAGGCTTCCCTGAGAAGTCTTCAGTGGCAGCGTAGAGCCACTTTGACAGTTATTTTACCTGTGAAAGGTGCCCCCAGAGTCTGAAGGAATCGGTTTAGAGCTCCTAATGACCGCCAAGAACAGCATCCCTTCCTCTTCTCCATACCATACGTTTTCTCATATTATTAAGTGAAATTATTTTTGGTCCTAAACAGTCCTGGGGTGGTATTATTAATGCTGGTGGCGATAGATAGACAGCCTGGGCCTGGTGGGCCAGGAGTCGATACCAATACTGACCACAAGAGGGCGGGCCGCTACAGCTAATGCCTGAAGGTTGTTTTTGTTTTAATCTTTATTTTCCCCTCTGAAGTTGGTCCCATGGTTAAGGAAAACCCCCTAGGATTGCCGCAGGATTCGGAATTAGTTGCACTTCTATCCTGAATTCCTTGGTACTAACTGAAGTGTCGTCATCTGTGCCCTGCCCCGGGTAGCTGTGTTCTCTGGGCAGTGGAAAAGAATTCAGTTCAGACTGATCTATCAGGATATTTATTAAAGCATCCATGCGAATCTCCTGTTTGTGAGAGGAGAGTCTAACCAAAGCTGCAGATAACAAATTAAAAGCCTATCGACTTCCCGTGACTGATCTTCAGTACCTGTGACCCCAGCAGACTCCTTTAGTATAAAAGCTCAACTGCCAGGAGGCAGCTCTGTGGCAACTGGAGCTCAAGGGCTCAGCCGGGGCTCAGAACTGGGGTTGTGGGCTCTTACCAGCCCTGCCCAGTAGCAGAGCTGTTCTGCACCGTTGCCTCCTTGGAAGGATGATAGCAGAGCCTGGGACCTTCATAGTTGTGCTTGCAAGTATGGGTCAGTTATGGCTGTCACTGGAGCTACCGCCCTCAAGCCGCAACACGTTTTCAAATGGGAGGTTTACCTACTAGATATGCTTGTGACGTGACCCCTGCAGCAGTTGTCATGGCAGCTGAGTTGTCCCTGCTTGGGAGTCTGCTTGGTGCAACCAGCGGTGTTGCAGGTGTCACAGAGCTTTCCTGGGAGAAGTTCAGTTAACCTCAGTTACCTTTAGGGCTCTGGCTTCCTCTCCTGAGATGACACAGTCAGTTGCAAGGACAGCCGTTTCCCTCTTGCTGTTCCCACGCTTTCTCAAGCTTGGCCTCCACAGTTACCCCCTCCCTGTCCCTCTTCCCACATCACTGCTTTTGCAGTGTCAGTCATTTTGTCTTTCATTCCTCCTTTTGCCCTTCGGGCATCCCTGTTATAGGATTCGGCCTTCTGGCCCCATAATCTGCCTCCATGTATACTATTCTCATTACACATTGAACTTAAAGGCTGAGTAATTGCAAAGCAATTACTCAATCTGTGGGTAGTGACCCCCATGAGGGTTGTATATCAGATATTTATGTTGCAATTCATAACAGCAGTAAAATAATACTCAGAAAGGTGCAATGAGATAATTTTATGGTTGGGGGGTTCACCATACCATGAGGAACTGTATTAAAGGGTCACAGCATTAGAGGGAGGTGAGAACCACTGTCTTAGAGGGCCTGGTAGTTATAAACACTAACATTTATATTTTTACTGACCACACAAAGATAATAAATGTGAAAATTCATGAATTAAGTAATCTAAACCTCAACACGGGGATTTCTTCAATGCTCTATTCTTTCTCACCCAGGGGCTGGCATGTGTGCAGCAGCATCCTTGTCACATCCTGAAGCCCAAACAGTGTCTTCTGCTTTAGCCCCTCCAGGTTTTGCTGTGCCATTCTCATCTCTTCTAACTCCAGGCAGAGAATGTGTGTGGGTGGGGGCGGGGGTTCTTCTTTTCTCTCCTCTCAATGGGACTCAGTAACCAACTCAGTTCCAGTGGAGCCTAGGATTCATTGAGAATGGCTTTGACTGCTCATGCTCACAGGAAGTAGTGAGACAAGAAAAGCAGGCATGGTAAGGACATACAGGACACACTTGAATCCTGAGCCTCTTGGTGGAATGTCGCCTCTGACAGAGTCAGAGTCACACTTTACTGTCCTCTGTCCTTCTGCCAGTTTCAGACAAGAAAGGGGCCTAGGAAGTCACCTAGTAAACCTGTCCTCTCTGATGGCCAGCAGAGTCCTGAGCTAAGTCAAACTCAAGAGTCCCGTCTTGAACCTGTGGCCCTGGTTGGCTACACAGGGGTTTGGGGCCCTCCACCTGTTGTAATTTGGGTGTGAGTTTTGCAGTTATTAATTATGAATGATAGTGCATGCCTGCAATTTGGTGAATGATGGTTTTGTTGTATTTTGTTTCAGAAGAATTGTAGCTCAGGCTGGTCCAATACTTACTGATAGCCCAGGGTGACCTTGAACTTGTTAATGATCTTGCTTACT